CCGACAGTGACGATTCAACAGTGACGACATCTGCCTCGGACCAGCCACCCCCCCTGTTCTCCCAATCCCTCCAAGAGGCCCTGGGTCAGCTCCCAATTTCTGACTAATGGGCGCTAGGACACCTTCGATTTACCGATGATGGCTCCCAGATTGCAAAATCCATCATGACTGGCTCCGGCATTCAGGTCAGTGACGGCTCCTACAAAGATTCTTTTGGCACTGCAGCCTTCGTCCTTGAAGGAGCAGACCACAAGGGACGTATCAACGGCAAGTTCTCTGTCCCAGGTTCCCGGGTGACCATTCTTCACATCGAAGTGAACTGGCAGATATCATTGGGGCACTCATCGTGATGCAAACCATCTGCATCCTACATGACATCTCCATGGGATGCATCACGATTGGCTGTGATGGCCAAGCAGCCCTCAATGCCCTTGAAACTCTCTTCGACCCTCAGTGCAATAGCAAAGATTTTGACCTACGTGTCGAGGGCCGAGCTGTTATAGATGAGATCAGGGAACAGGGTATCAACGTTCAGTTCCGATGGGATAAAGGCCACCAGGACGACAGCCCTCGAGCACTCCACATCCTCCCCCGGGAAATGTTACAGGGAACCAGAATGTACCACGGCTGCCTCGATCGATGGGCAATCCTGAACATTGAAATGGATACTGCTGCCAAATCCCAGTGGACTCAGGATCAATCGAACCCATGCCCTAATCTACCTTTCACCCACGAGCGCGTCATCTTTCGGCACAAGGGTCAGAAACTAGCCCGGTTCCACCGCCGTGAGATGCACGAGGCCCTTTGGGAAGATAAAATCAAGGCTCACTGGAAACAGCGCGAGGAAAGAGTTCTTGAAGTGGCATATTCAGAGGCAGAATGGACAGAACGATGGGACATCATCAACTGGGAGGCAATGGGCAGGGCAATGAGGAAGGCACCACTTGGCATTCAACGATTTGTCACCAAACATGCTACTGGCCACTGTGGTGTCGGACGCCAGCTGCAACGCCGCCAATGGCAGGCTCACAGTGATTGCCCACAGTGTGGAACAGATGGCGAAGACACCCTCCATGTGCTCCGCTGCCAAGATCCAGCATCCATCCAACAGTGGAACCAGGAGATTTCTAAGTTGAAAACGTGGTTGCACAAGCGTCACACTGACCCCATGATGACCAAACAGATTTTGACCCAGCTCCATCATTGGCAAAAGGGAAACAATACCTCCCTCTGGATGGGATCTGGAACTCCTAGCACTGTCACCGGGCTCCGTGCTCAGGCCAAACTGGGCTGGTGGAATCTTCTACTTGGCCGAATCGCAATCCCCCTTTGCACTGCCCACGAGATCCACTTACACTCTATTGGCAAACAAGGTGATGGCACCAGCTGGGCAACTGCCTTGGCAAATGAACTGTGGATGCTCCACTTCCGAATGTGGGAGCACAAAAACAATGCCCTACACGGTGCGAAACCAACCCCCACCCAACTCTCCCACCTCTCCACCCTCCGCCAGGAGGTCCTGAAAGAATACACCAAAGGTGATGCCACCTTACCTCCCACTGAACGATGGCGCCTTGACCTTGACTACCGCAAAATTAACCTCAACCTCTCCCTCCCGAAAACACTTTGCTGGCTGGAGACCATCAAGCTGGCGCGAGCTGCTTACGGCCGACTCCGCACTACATACCACCGCCGAACCACACGACAACTTCAACAATCCATGCAAAATTACCTACAGACTGGACGAACTACGACCCACGAGTAAATGCTTTTCAAACCCTGGGTATTGCCCCGCGCTCCAGGTGCTGCCTTTGTCCCCTTCTCCTGCACCCATGCAGCATTGTCCACTAATGGGGGCCCCATCCGGGACTCTTGAGACTGATTTGACACTGTGCAGCAATTTAGTGGATGACGACTCAGCTTGGTGGGGGTTTCCCCACCGCTTGCCCGCGTCGTAAAAGTCACTCCGTGGCCAATAGTTTGTTAAACTAAATGAGTAATTTAACCCCCTGTTGTTGCTTGTTCTTCTTGCGAGTCATGATGATGGTTGTTGTTGCGCTGACTGAGTGTGGTATGTAGAGGTGTTGCTGTAGAAAATCCAAAATGAGACTTGAAGCCTTGCACTGTTGGTGGATGACCAATTGAAGGCTGCTTGACACACTGGTAACCTTGGATCCTTTCGAAACAGTCAAAAAGGTACTCTCGTGGTGCTTCGAGTTACACTGAAATGTACTCGGAACAGTGTATGGAGCCACCGAGCGATCTTCGAGTTTGGAATTCCAAGGAAAATGTGAGGCGACTCGAATCTTCGGCTCGGTGCGCTTTCGGAACAGAGGTACGGTACCGGTCTTGTGAGTACCTTGTGAGTACCGGTTCCCTTCACCCTCCGCAGGCACGACTGGGACTTTCCGTAGGAAAATCGACAATGATGATCGATTGGCTCTGCCGATACCTTCCACTATCGGCAGCTGTAACTAAGCCAATTAACAAAGAACTGGCTGGTGTATCCTCTCAAGCGCCCTCAGGTTAGTAGGTGAACCACTTGGTTTGGTCGCTATCACTCGATTGGTTGTGTTTCGGCGCTTGTCGCGATTTTGGTGTCGCGATTTCTTGTTGGTGGATCTATCAGTACCTTCCACTCGCGGCCGTCGTAACCAGCCTATTAATCGAGGAACTGTAGATTTCCCTGTGGTTAGTCAATGGACCAACTGCTTCCACTTGAATCGGTCGCTAATCAAGTTTCCGGTCGTTCGCTGTGTCAGCAGGCCTTTGGGCGATCGATCGGCAACTCCTCTTCTTCACTTGGTTTCCACACGTAGCCACTCTTGTGTGTGTCTATGCGAATCTGTTAATCCTATGAATTCCAGAGGAACTCAGCTGGTAGGTGCACAAGAGCTGGGATGGAGAGCTCTGTTTGGTGGAGATCTCCTTCCACTGGCGCTGGAAAGGCCAGCCCAAGGCTGGCAGCCAATGCTATTCAATCACTGTGGAAGCAATGATTGAACAGTCTAATTGCTCAATACCCTGGCACTGGCCATACAGGATCCGTTCTACTGCAGAGCTCTAATTGTGCTGTTGGTTCTCAGGTCAACTACTTCTTCATTACTTCTTTAAATTATAAACATAAACACAAACTCTGATTTTGCGACTTTCTCCATCCAGCCATGCAGGATACAGATCCATGCATCTCTTTCGGCTGGTATAGACCAAGCTATCTTTCTAGATAGGTCATGGCTGAGGAACTGCATCATCCTTCCTTGCCGTGGAACTCTATGTCCTCTACAGCTGTTCCAATCTTGCCTGATGGTGACACAGCTCATTGTACTGAAAGAGTGTACAGATGCAGCAGCGATCTTTCCATCAGACTGAGCCAGCACAGGTGCGCATCACCCATATGGTTCCTATGGCATAATCTCATCGTGGTAAACAGGAGGTAAATCCATGCTTGGCCGACAACAGTGGTAGCTACCCGTAGGAGGAGTTCTTTATTCAAGCCGATCGATCGATCGAATGATTCGATTCGAGGTAAGCCTATTATCAAGAGTTTTATTGAAGGTGCAGCGCTGACTTCTCTCCCTCATTGTATTCCTATGGTATTCAGGAGAGAATTCCGAGCTCGGCCGTCAACAGGTGAGTTGTTTTTAATTATTCGAATCGAATCGTTGCACCTCTATTATCTCGACTATCAAGCCTCACTCAAGCCGACCTTCTCTGGTGCAGATTCGAAAGCCAGCCATCCCTCATTGAATCCTATGGACCATGGGATGGCAGTCAGTTCTCGGCCCATGACGGCCAAGTTGGTGCAATTTGAATAACAAGGGTAAGTCACCGGTTTTCTTCAGTTGAGCACAGAAAGCAAAACTCATATCTATTTGTTGTTTTCTCTGCTGCACTGCCGACGGCCGATGAATTACCATTGTCGAGGAGTACTTTTCGAATGAACGAACGCTCTGGACAACAAGAGGAGGTGAGGCTACCGCTACGGAGGAGGCTGTTGACTCAAGCCCTATGAACAGTCTGCACGGAGGAGCCTATCGTCGTCGAGTCATTGAATCGTCAACCGGAAGAGGAGGAAGCTACTCGACAACACACAAGAGAATGGATCTCCTGTCAGATTCACCCCTCCTTTGTTATTTCCTAGTGTTTCGGTGGTGATTCCTGTGTCGGTGCCCATTATCCTGTATGCACAAGTCAGTTTCAAGGATTTGGCCAAGTCAACGACGAGGAACTAGCCTCTTTTGTGCAATAGAAATAGCTAGCTAGTAAGATCATAGAACGCCGATTACCAATGCTAACGTGGGGAAATACTACTTGAATAGAGGGATCTTGTAGAGGTAGCTACCACCCAACGAGATCAACTGCAACTATTCAAGACGAGTGCAAAGTAAATGCAAAGTTCGCTTCTTAGTAATTCATAATCTGTGTTGTGAGCTTTGATTGATGCGATCAGTAAAGCTAGTTCGTAGCGTGTTGGATCAATGCATCATGGTAGTTGATCTTGATTCATACGGAAGTCAACGTGGTATCTGCGGGAAACGGTTCGTTGGCAGGATGCTTTACTCCTGTCGAATACTCCAATTTACCGTGTCCTTTTTGGTTTCGTTGAGAACGTGTTCTTGCCAGCGTTCTCTGTTCCATCGTGTTGACTCATAAAGCATGACTCAATCTACTCACGGATACTCTGAGTCGTGGGAGGAACTGTAACGCTTTCACTCGGCGTCGTGCCTTCCCTCCTGCCCCGCTGTTCGCCCGCCCCCTTTCTACCTGCCCCCGCCGACCGCTGCCCGCCGCTGTCCGCGCCTCCGCTCCTTGCCAGCGTCCCCTCCCCCCGGCGCCGGTTCACCCCTCCGCCCTGCTCCCGTTCCCCTGCCGCGATCCCCCGCCGCGTCCGCGGCCTCGTACGGCCCCCCGCTCTCGTGGCCTCCTTGCCCCCGCCCCCCTTGGGGTGGCCCCCTGGCCGTTTCCGCCCGCTCTGGCTCCTCCCGGTCCCCTCCAGCTCCTCATGCCCGGCCCGTCACGGTTCCCGGTCCCCCGTTCCCGTTGCCTGGGCCCGCGGCGCGCTCCCTTGGGCGCCTCTTCCCCCCCCCCCGCTGGGCGTCCCGTGCGTTGATGCTCCGTCCGGTTCCGCCTCTCTGCTGCCGCGCCGGTCTCCTCGCCCCGTTGGCCTGGCCCCTCCCCGGCTTCCCGCAGCTGCCCCGCCCTCCCCGTGCCTCGTCCGAGCGCTCCCCCCGCCCCGCTTTCCTTCCGGCCCCCGCCACTGTTCCTGTCCCGGCTTCCCCGTTCCGCGCCCCCTTGCTCCCGCCCTGGCCCTCGCTGCGCGCCCTGCGCTCCCCCGTGGCCGCACTGCCGCGACTCTCGCCCTTCCCCGCTTGGCTGCGTCCCGCCCTTCCTCCCCCAGGCCCGGGCCCTCCCTGGCCCCGCTTGGCCCGCCGCTCCGCAGTGCCTCCTGGTGTACCGCCGTCCCCCCGCTGGGCGCCCCCAGCGCTGTCGCTGGCGGCCCTCGCCCTGCTCCCCCCGTCCCTCCGTCTCTTCCCGTGTGGTTTCGTTCCGTGGGATTCGTCTCTCCCCTTCCTCGCCCGCCCTCCCTGCTGCGGCCGTCTGGCCCCAGCCCTCGGCCCCGCCTCTTTGGCCTCCTTTCCCACGCGCCGGTGTCCGTGTCGTCGGTGTCTCCCGCGTTTGGCGCTCGTTCGCCGGCTGCCCCCATCCTCCTCGCGCCGTGCCCTCATACGGACTCCCGTCTTCTGGCTGTCCGCTGGCCTGCCCGATTTGCCGCTGTTTCTTCGTTCGCTGGGCTTCTTTCCTTCCCCCGCCGCCTCCGCCCTCTGCTGCGCGCCCCCGGGCGCATCCCTCCGCCTCCCCTCGCGTCGTCCGTCGCCGCCCTCCTTCTTGTCCGCCCCGCCCGCCTCCCGATCCTCGCGCCCTTGCCGGGGAGCCCCCGTTCACCCCTGCCGGGCACCGGTTCCACTCCGCTTCCCCCTCGGGACTGTGCTTTCCTTCCGTGCTGGCCCGGCGTCCTGCGTTCCCCTCGCCCCTCTCTTGCGCCGGTCCTCCGCCCCTACCCCCGGCTCTCCGGCCCCGTGCCCCCCCCGCTCCTCTCCCCTCCTCCCCGGCGCCCCGCGCCTGCCCCGCGCTCCTCCCTCTGGCCCCACCCTATCTCCGTCCTCATCGGTCGTCTCCCCTGGGCCCTCCCCCTTGGCCGGTTCGCTCTCGCCCCGGCCACCCTGCCGCTGTCCCGATTTCGGCCGCCCCCCGCCTGGGTCCCTTCGAACCGCGTCCAGCGCCTCTGCGGGTCCCTTTCCCCGCTGCGCCCCCCGCACTCCTCCGCCTCCGCCCGGCGGCCCCGGCTTCCTCAGCGCTTCCCTCCGACCGGCGTCCGCCTGGCGTCCCTCCTGCTCCCCTGGTGCCCCCGCCGTTTCCCCGCCCCCAGGTCCCCTCCGAGGCCCCCGTCCTTCTCCCCCCCCTCTGTGATGCGCCCCTCTCCCCCGCTCTCCTCCGTGGGCCGTCAGTTACCGCGTCCTGCCCCTCGCGCCCACGCCCCCCTCCCCTGGTTCCGCACGCTCCAGTCCACCGTCGCGCCGCCCGTTCGCTCTGCCTCTGTTGGCCGCCCGTCCCGACCCTGCCCGCTTCCTTGCCCTCCCACGCCCCTTCCGGTCCCTCGGCGTCCTGGTTTCGCCACGCCGACCATGTGTTCGGAGACAACGAGACGGTAGTCAACACCGCCTCGATGCCCCTCAAGATTCTCAAAAGACACAATGCGCTTTCCTCCACCGTACCTAGGGAGCTGTTGCTGCAAGTATCTTGAGATTTCATCATTCCTGGATCTACTAACCCTGCAGATATCCTCAGCAAACACTGGGACTATACACGGTATGGCCTATGCTGAATGCACTACTGTTTTGGTCAGGAGATACCAAGGATTGCGGTAAGAAACACTCAGAGTCGACAGTCGCCACTAGGGGAGTA